AGGAGCAGGTGCTTCGTGTTGTGCTGAACAAGGTTCAGGCACAAGCGTCTCGATAGACGCATAGTTGTTTTGAAACAACTTGCTCGATGAGCATGATCCAAATGTGGATGCGCTGTAACAGCGAAAGTGGTGTCCCGCACGGGGATCGAACCACTGGCCTTTGGCTTGACAGGCCGGAGCTCTACCATTGGGCTACAAGGGCGATGTCCGTAAGCTTGTCCGAGTACGGACTACCCATGGTATGAGAGGCCTGCGTCTAAGTGGAATCGAGCCACCGACATGTGGCTTCCAGAGGCAATGCTTGACCATTGAGCTACAAGAGCGTTGCCCTTAAGCTTGTCCATTCAAGGACAACAGTTCATGGAACGAGAGGGCTGTGCCCTGGCGGGTTCGAACCACCGACCTGTGGCTTCCAAAGCCAACGCTCGACCACTGAGCTAAAAGCGGATTGCTCTTAAGCTTGTCCAAGCGTGAACGATCGTTCATGGAACGACAGGGCTGTGCCCTGGTGGGCTCGAACCACCGACCTGTGGCTCTCAAAGCCAACGCTCAACCATTGAGCTAAATGGGTGTTGCCCTTAAGCTTGTCCAAGCGTGAACAATCGTTCATGGAACGAGAGGGCTGTGCCCTAGTGGGCTTGAACCACGGACCTATCGCTTGTGAAGCGAGAGTTCAACAGCTGAGCTGTTGTCGACGACTCGAATGAGTCAAGAGCATTGCTCTAAGCGGTTTGCAGCTCTTGGAGTAGGCGAGGAGCGCGAGCGAGACCGCTTGAGAGCAAGATGCGCGCTGCGCTTGGAGCATTGGGCCGTGGGCCGACGACGAGAAGTTGGGCATCAACGATGCGTAGGCGTTTGTGAGCTCACGGAGCTGTACAACGCTGTTGTGAGGTGTAGTAACGTCGGCCGTCTTAACAAGACGTGACCTCGCTGAGGAGAGTTTCGAGAACGGAATGCTCTCATCTTAGTGGGGGAGAGTGTAACGGGGTTACATGGTGTGGAGCACACAGGGGTACGAAGTACACGGCGAGTTAACAAACTCTCAGTACATAAGTTGGAGAGTTAACAAGGTCTCTCAGTACGTTGGCTGAAAGCCACACGTTATGCATTTGATTAGGTTTAACTATGCTAGATAGTTAAGGAGATACATTTACCCCTAGGCGGCTTGGCCGCAATAATAGTAAATAAAACACTTCTGGTTTTGAAGCATAAAAGTTAAGGTGTTAACTTGAGCCCTGGTCTTGGGCTGTAAGTGTCCTTTGGATAAGGAACTTAGTATTAGTGACTCTTTGAGTCGAACGTCTTCCTCTGACGCTAAAGCTACGGCAGCCCCGCTGCAAGTGGGATCCTTAAAGACCAAGGCCGGGAAACGTGACGCTCACGACGACGGCATTTGGGAGCCACACATGGAGCAGAAGTCGTCGTCTAACGACAACAGCATCGCTGCATCACGGCCAAAGCGGAAGTGACAGCAATCCCCCCGCCTCAAGGACTACGAAGTGACGAGCGTGACGGCGCAGCGCGTTGATGATGTAAAGATTCCTATCAGTCATCAACATGCATCAATGTCTAAGAAGTGGATGAAGTGGAAAGATGCCATGCAAGTCGAGATGGGCTCACAGCAGCAACACATAACTTGAGTGCTTGTGCCGCGCACAGAAGCCAAGGGCAAGCGTGTCATCTCGTGCAAGTGGATGTTTGCATTGAAGAGGGACGCAGCCGGCAGGATCCAGCGATACAAAGCCAGGTTGGTCATCAGAGGATTTCTACAGCGCATGGGCATCGACGACAGCGATCCCTTCGCGCCTGGCATCAGGTTTGAGACGATCAGATGCGTGATCGTATTTGCTTTGCAGCGCGAATGAGGTATTTGCAATTTGACGTCAAGACCCCGATCTTGTACGGTGAGCTCGACGAATAGGTATATATGGAGCAACCTCCAGGCTTTGGACAAGACTCTACGCGCTACGTGTAATAGCTAAAGAAGCGTTTGTACGGGCTAAAGCAAGCGCCGCGCGCTTAGAACAAGACCTTGCATAAGTTTCTGACGAAGATCGGACTTGAGCGTCTCGACTCTGCCTACGGACGCTACGCCAGAAAAGTGGGAAGAGAAGCCGCCATGTTGCTCACGGTGTACGTTGACGACCTCCTACTACTTGGTCCAAGTGAGCTGTGCGCTAAGGTTTCCAAGAAGCTCAGTGAGGAGTACGAGCTCGTTGATCTCGGACCAGTCAAATGTCTACTCGGCGTGGAGATATTCATTGATCGCCAGCGACGACATGGGAATTTCTGCTAGCGGCAGTACATTCGGGAGGTGCTGAATCGGTTTCACATGGAAAGATGCAATGCGATTGCTACACCGGAGGCACTGCACGCTGAGGTGGTCAAGTCCATCCAAGCCGATACATCGCTCCCGTGCCGAGAGCTCGCTGGGGCATTACAGTATCTAGTTTCAGCCTTAAGACCGGACATTGCGCACACTGTGCGTCATCTCAGCAAATACTTGTCCGGTAGCGAGCACACACACTATGTTATGGCTAAACGAGTGCTACGCTACCTAGCTGATACCGACAACTACGGCTTAGTGATCATTGTTGCCGGGAACAACGTCGAGCTGACGTGTAACACCGATGCTGACTACGTGAATGGCCCTGATGATCGAAAGAGCGTGAGCGGGTTTGTGACATTCGTCAATGACAATGTGGTTTCTTAGGGATCAAGAAAGCAAAAGATAACACGCACAGAGCACAACAGAAGCAGTGTATATTACAATGAAGGAAGAAATCAGAGACTTACAGTGGCTAATGATACTCTGTGAGGAGCAACGCTGGGCGTTTGCGACACCGAAGATCTGCGGCGACAACAAGTCGTGCATCTACCTGACTGATAAATCTGGCAAACACAGCAAGAGCAAGCACATTTTGAACAAGTTTCACCTGGTGCGCCACCTGGTCAGCTACGAATTCGACATGCTGGCACCGACGATATGATCACCGACGCGATCACGAGCCTTTGCCGAAGAAGAGGCTCGACCGTTGTCGAGGCGAAATGAAGGTGCTGCGAATCGCCGTCAGCACGACTCAGCTCGTCCCGTGGCAGCCAAGCATCATCGCCGTGCGTAAGGTGATAGCTACCTACTACTATGCGCTCATGCAAGCAAGAAGAAGAAGTAGAAGCAACGCCAAGGCCAAAGTACTATAAAAGCTGCGCAGTGTGACAGCGCCAAGGACATCGCCGTGATCTCTAAGGTGATCGTGTTGAAGATGCTCTTTACCATGGTCATGTGGGAGTTTCGAGTAGAGAGGAAGCGCCCCAGCTCCACCTGCCTCCAGAACGTGCTGCGCACTTCCCGAGCCACACGTTTACGGATCCCAGACTGGTAAGCTGCACGCCCCATTCTATTTTTAATCCTACAAATACACTACGGGTTTGGCCGTCGGTACTGCTGCTCACTCGCTAACTTGCGCAACAAGCAGCAGGAGTGGAGAGACCATCACGCATTGACGAATGATGCCAGCGAAGCACCACAGACTCAAGATTGAAAGCAATTATGGGATGGATGGCAGAATTTAGTCAGCCCTGGCGCAGGTGCTTCACGTTGACCAAACCCCCGTTTTTCTCCGATAAGCAGCTAACTTTGGTCAAACGGCGCTGCTTTCTTATCACGATCTATTCGAGGGTTTTATATTGTTATATTAAGGCAGACATTCAGAATATAATCTAAACTACCGCCGTGTAGCGGTGGAGCTCGGCTAGTAAATGTAATAGCTACAGATGCGTCGATTATTTTTTAAACCCTGTAGAAACCTCGGTGCGTAATGCTACAAATGCTCACCGCTTCGGGCTCTGGCGTACACGCTAATAGTACTGGAACACAGATGCTCCGACAAGAAAAGAGATTCGTGAAAGCGCCAAGAACATGTAAAATGAACTACCGTGGCCCCTCATCTTGTTACACTCGTGGTCCCTGTGTCTGACAGAATCGATAATCTAGAAAACAGTCGTGATTTCTTTATCTAACTGCTCAATCGGACTACTTTTCGCATGGCGACAAACCGTCAGTCTGATTATGGTTGGGTTGTTTTTTCAAATTAGAAAAAACAGATGTACAAACCATTTTTTTCTTTTGTTTTTGCCTGTTATGGTTTTAAACCAATAGACCTGCGTATCACTTCTACTGCAGTAGTACTTGCCATTTTACTAATTCTCCTTCTTCTACTACTACTGTTATCCCTATTATTTTTCTTCCTCCATTTAAACTCCACATGTCCCGGTTTCTTGCAGTAGAGGCATTTGCAACAAAACCAAAATGGTTGTTATAGAAGTCATTTGGCCTTGTTGCGATCAACCTTGCTTAAACCGATGTCAATCCACCCAAACATCTATACACGAGACCGTAGACATGTGCACCACGTAGGACGTGTTTTTGGAACAGCCGCAAGCACGCGGTATCCGTCGGTCAAACTTCCGAGTAACAGCACAACCTGCCAAGTCACGTGTACAGACTCACCGATTGACTCTACCTGGCGTAATAGCTCCATAAATGCCCAAGTGTACAAAGGGCATCGTATGGCGAACCAGAACACCGGTTTGGTACCGATGGGCCGGTTATTAAGCATTTTTCTATCGAATGGTGCCTACAGTAAAGCTCACGTCTTGCCCGCTGTAAGCGTTCGGCATTTGTATATCTGGCACGCGAGACTAAAGTCTCCAGCGATCCTACCACGGCTTTCAACTCGTTGTACTTCAATTTATCCGTGTTCCAACCACTCAGTTGATCAAACTCTGGATTAGTAACATGCAGTAGTAGATCCTTTTGGGCGATCACCATCCACATGTTGAGCTCCGAGATGACGCGATTGGCTCACATGAGCTTGTCGATGGTGTCGGCGTAGCATTGGGTCATAATTAATTGAAAGGTTTGGAATAAGGCTTGTAGTTGACGTGAGCAGACGAATGAAAAAAAATGAAAGTGAAATTAATTGCGTTAACAGAATTGAAACCCGTAGCCCCTAGTACCCTATATCGTCGCCAAGTTTGAATGTACATGTTGTATTCTTAAACGGACACACCCTGTTTATAGTGTAGATTCCACGTGTACAGATCGATTTCCGCAGAAGAACCTGTGATTGACCCAATTGAAGTCGACGACCAATCACAGTTCAGGATATCAAACGGTCTGGAAATGAGGGCCGCACCATTCCTGTCACTTCAGCTGTAGCACGTGTTCGGCACGCGCACGCCGCATGTCTAGCAATATGTATCCAGGCGCGTAGACAGCGCAGCGCTTTAACAATTTAGAACTGTAACGAATTTAAGTACATAATAACCCTTCGTAAGTAGCCGTGTGTAAGCAAAACCGCCTCAAACTTTAGACATTTCGACTCTTCGTTTTTATATATTCTTGATTTTCTGGTAATAGTTTATTATGTTACTAGCCCACCGATTGGGCAAAGGAATCCGGAGCGCGAAAGTATCTGGCTTTAATATGAGCTCCTAGGCCGGACGGCAGCAGCTTCTCTCTGATTATCAAGCCGTCTTCAGAGCCCATGCGATGAATGCATCCAAGGTCTCCTCGAAAACAAGTCTCCGGTAGAAGACCATGAAAGATACACAAGCAGCGCTTGTATATATGTGGGGAGAGCTCGGTCTTCACCACCCTCCTACCCGCATCAAAGAAATTATTATAGTTCTGGAGCGGGCTTTGATGGAACAATTCCATGAGAAGTACATCGAAGGCACGTGAACCGCAGACGTTCTCCTTCAGAAGCGCCTCCCACAAATGATGACCCACGCACAGCTGCTAGAAGAACGCTTGAAAGCCTATATAGACAAGGAACACGGAGCGACCAACATGGGGTGTCTACAGAGAGATCTATAAATGCTCCACTTTGCTACCAGCCACACCTGATTTTTTTTATTCGAAATACTTAGCGGGTGACTGCGTTAAGGCTGCTTTCCGCTTACAGCAAGTGGGAATTTAAATGGTGAAGGATGCGGGCCTCCGCTTGGGGGCATACGCGAGGTCACATCTCTGTCGCTTCGATTTAGTCCGTGTTCTAGGGGCGGCCGGCATTGGAATGACCACTCTTCTACAAGCTTGTTTAACCTCGCGGGTGTGACAGTGTTGGACGCAGAGCGCCATCACGAGTTCGACCATCGTAAACAACCGCTACCGCACGCTTCTGTTCGCTCATGTGCCCTGGTGTGTTAATAGAACTAGCGCGGGTGCAGATTGGAGCTCAGTAGGTGGGACGTCATCGTCACCTGAATTATCAACGGCACCCGTGTCCGGGCTGTTACAGTCCCAAGTACACGCCTGGGTATTGCACGGCGAGCGGTAGGGTAAGCAGTCTCGTTGTGTCGCCAAGATAAGCACGGTTTCATACGGTTTTGGACCAATTTCCTGGGTGCTTTCACGGCAGATATGGATGGCGAGAACGATAACCCAAGAGCGGTTACAACTCATATCGTATCCCCTTAGTCGACGCTCCTGACCCCCTCGAGGTGAGCCGTATCCCAAGGACAGGCTAATAATGATGACGTGCGCACGGAGGGTGAGTCTACAATTGCCCATAATCGTCAAAGGTCACGCAAGCGGGATTCCCCTGAGCACAGCATGCAGGTGCTTCGTTCCAGACTGGGATGATTTTTCAGAAATACGACAGGAGGTTATCAGTGTGAATCTGGTGTATGACAGTGATCATCAATACAATTCTGCACCAATTAGACGTACTGCACCTACGTTTGGGGTTGCCCGTTTTGGACGCGGATAGCAATGACAATAATGTCGTGGAGTTTATTATGCAGGAGGAAGCATCAGCTAGTGTACCAGGCGGCAGCGGTGGACAAATACGCCGCTGGTGCTCGGCTCACACCTTCTCTTACTAACCAGAAAGCCCCGGCCCGAGCGAGACCTTCCGGACGGGTCTTACATAATGTATATTGGGACCTAATGACGCTAGGCTC